CACGGAAGGTCCTGTTGGAGGTGGATATTTTGGGCTTTAGACTGGCCTATGTTGTGACTGACTAGCCCATGTGACCTTGGGCAAGTTGATAACATCCCATGGAGCTTTTATTCTCTTGTCGGTAAACTGAAGAAGACAAGACAGCTAACTTTGCCAGGTTGTTTTGAGCCTGCGAGGAGCTCCGTGAAGTGTCACCACCGCCCCCCACCCCAGTCGCTGCTGTTTCTATTTTTGTGGACAGTCTTCAGAACTGGGCTCGGTTTCTGCATCCCCAGGTGCTGCCATTGTGGGGTAGCGAGGCTTTTTGCAGCTGTTCTAACAGTTGGCCCTTTCTGCACCCCTCCCAGCACGCTTTGTCCACCTCTACCTTTCTTACAAGTCCCCTGTATCAAGCAGCCTCTGCTTTCTTTTACAGGATCCAGAGAATTGCCCACCGCTGTTTCTTGCCCAGGCCCGAAAAAAGCCAGAACCAGAGCCTATTTGAACAGAAGGGCTTGCCAGAGGAATTTTCCAAGTGCCCAAAGGCCAGCCCTTGAAGTGCCTGTGGTCAGCCCCGGAGGCCCTCGCTGAGATTTGGGGATCGGCTCCACCTCAGGCCATGCCAGGCCAGGGTCTGCCCCTTCGAGTGGCCACCCTGCTCACGGGGCTGCTGGAATGCCTTGGCTTTGCAGGAGTCCTCTTCGGCTGGGCATCACTGGTGTTTGTCTTCAAAACAGAGCATTACTTTGAGGAGCTATGTGAACCGGATGTGGGGCCGATGGGCAATGTCACAGGGGAGGCTGGTAAGGGACTCCTCTAGGGAAGCAGAGTGTGGTTCCCAGGCAGTAGGAAGGGGTGGGAGGGATTCTACCCCCACCCCCTCCCCCCCACAGTGCCAACTTTTCTGGGGTCAGAGGTGAGGAGTGTCATCCTCCCCACCAACTCCCCAACCTTGGTCTAGGAGGTGCCTGGGGAGGGAAGTACCAGCCCCTGAGGCTGTCACGTTTCAACTCCCTGAGATCTCCCTTTCTCTCCTCCAGACTGCAAAGCCCAGGATGAGAGGTTCTCACTCATCTTTACCCTGGGGTCCTTCATGAACAACTTCATGACATTCCCCGCCGGCTTCATCTTTGACAGGTTCAAGACCACCGTGGCTCGTCTCATAGCCATGTAAGTCCCAAAGGCCCGGCCTGGGCAGAGATAGGCAAGACGGATTCCTCTAGCAGTAGCCATGCTTGGAGGAGACCCAGTTGGGCAACAGGGCAGCCCTGCCCGGCCCTGGCCCAGCAACTGTCAGAAACAGCACAGGATCTAGACTCTGTCTAGATCCACCCTCCTCTCTGCACCCCTACTCCCCTTACCTTTGCTTGTTCTTCCTTTGTTCAGTGTGATTGTGTATTCAAATTGAGCTGGAGCCCAGGCCAATTTCCTTTGAGGGCTGGCTTGGTGCCTGGGTTAAAATAGGGGAACTGAAAATTGTCACTCAGGGATCCTACCAGGCCTCACATCCAGGTCCCTTAGGCTTAATTGTCATCTCATCCCCCCGCCCCCGTCATTCCCCAGAGATTTAGTAAGGTCTCCTGGGTATCCCCGATGGTGGGATTTCCTGACCCCCTCACTGGAGCGGAGACAGTGGGGGTTTCATGGAGGGGAAGGGACCTCCTCTTGCTCAGACAGGATGCCACGGTAGCCAGCCAGCTTCAGTGATGAGCAGTGGCCTGCCAAGGCCTTAATAGGACCAAGGGCAGGAGGCTCCTGGCAGATGTATGGAAAATGAGTTATCAGACAGAGGGACTGGAGGGCTGGCTGATAAAGCAAGTTCCTGCTCTGTAAGCCGTTGGGTGTATAATGACTTTATCTCAGTCTGTCCTTGGCTTGGCTCCCAGTCTCCTCTTCTTCCCACCCCTTCCTTTGGCCCCTGCCTCCTCTCCAGCCTTCGTATGTTAGGAAAAACTCGGTCTTCCTTGTGTTTCTCTTTTACTTTCACATACAACACCTCACTTCTGATACATCTGGTCAGCAAATGTGTGGGTTTCTCCCCCACACCAAGCAATTCTTTGATTGTCCTACAATTTAACTCAGTTCTGACACCATCTCGTTGGGGAGAGTGTCACATCCTGCGTGTTGAGGGCTGGGTCCCACAAGACTGCCCCCCACTTCAGATGCCAATTGCAAGTTGGTGGGTCCCCCCCACAGGTTACCCACAACTTCTGTCTGCTTTGGCTGCCAATCACAGTTCCCATGACCTCCTCCCTCTTGGACTGGATTAGTTGCTAGAACAGCTCACAGAACTCAGGGAAACACTTGTGTTTACCAGTTTATTAAAGGATACGATAAAGGATACAGATGAAAGCATACAGGTTTGGAAGCTCTCTGAGCCCCATCCTAGTGGGATTTTATGGAGGCTTCTTCATGTAGGCTTGATCAATTACTAACCATTTCTAGCCCCTCTCCCCTCTCTAGAGAAGTGGGGCAGGGGAGAGGGGCTGCCAAAAAAATCCCAAACTTCTAATCCTAACCAATCCTTGGTCTTTCTGGTGACCAATCCCTATCTGGGAGCTGTCCGGGAACCTACCAGAGTCACCCCACTGGAACAAAAAATGCTCCTTTTGCTGTTATCATGGAGTTTACAAGGGTTTTAGGAGCCCTGTGTCAGGGACTCAGGACAAAGACCAAATATGTATTTCTTTGTGTAAACCACAATATTACAGTGCAGCCCCTGGTCTTCGGACATGGATCCCTTGTAGCAGAAACGATCATGAAGGTCGAAAGACACTGGCAGATTAACAGAAACACACTCAGTCATTAGTAACTATCCAGTCCATCATCATACCATCTGAAAATGTCTCCCTGGGACGCTTATGCTCACAGGCTTCCATTTGATCTTGTCAGGGTCCAAAAGCGGGAGGGGTCTCAGCAATATATCCCTTTACCCTTCAGGCATCTGGTATAATTGAGCGAAGAGACAAGATCCTCTCTTGCACTGAGCGTCTTTTGGAGTATTCACCTAGTACTGGATTTCCCTCCTTGTAGAACCTGCTTATTCATCCTCTTACTCTCTGATTTTCCTTCTCTCCATCGATACCGTAACTCTTCCACCTTTGGAAGGGATGTTGGGTTTGGCCACTGTGCTGGTCTGGAATACTCGTCCAGCAAGTGTCTTCCCTTTCCGGTGGGGCGAGGTTACCCCCGACGCAGAACTAAGTGGGCTCTCTTTCCCACCAGGCAAGATGGCTGCCTTCCCTGTTTGTCCCAATTCTGGCAGACAGAGGGAAGGCTCACAGCCTGCCCCACCGGGCACTTAGGAATCGTAACATAATGGTTAAGAACACAGTTAATTTCCTTGCTTAGGAATCATCTCTGCTTCCAGCCCTGGTAGTGGTAACCCTGGTCCTGTGACCGTAGCATGAGGGGAAGTTCCTCTAACCACAACACTGATGGGGGAACCATTCCCCACTCAGACACCGTGTCCATCCCTCATACACGGTTGGGTGAGAGAGAGAGAGAGAGGCAGCCACTTCACATACAGCCTGTTCGAACATACTAGTCCTCCCATTTTCATGCACCCCTCAAATGCCATAGTGATTTCCATAGGTCTGTGCCCCGTATGGCCAAGTTTCCATTGCCTTCCTCTAGGACCGAATGGCCAGGCCATTGGCCACTGCCTGTGGGTCCGAAAGACCTGAACGTAGGGGCCTTTTCCACGGTAGGTTTCTTTCCTCTCTACTAGGACAGCAGCATGAGGTTCCTTCAGCCCACTGAGCTGATCTGTTTCTACCTTTTTGGATCAGAGTGATGGCCTTCCAAACAGGATGTCGTTGTCCCTTCACTTCGGAACACAGCCAAGTAGCTCTGTGTTGGTCAACTGGGGGCTCTTTATAGGGCACCATCCAAGTGACAGTAGAATCCAGCCACTCCCCACACATTCCAGAGTCAGTCCTTGCGGGGGGGGGGGGGTTGGGGGCGGGTGGAAGAGGCTCCCTGGTTGTGGTATCTCATCCTTGCAATTCCCCAGGCGACATGATCCTGTCTTACCACTGCTATTTTTAGTATAGAATTCTTCTGGGCATTGCCATCCCCATTAGAGCATTTCTCTGATACCATCCTAGACATTGTGGGTCTTTCATGTTTGAAGATCATTTTTTGTGCTTCAGTTATCTGTGTGGATTCAATTAGTGTCTGATAGGAAGATGATAAATGCCCCAGAAATGGAAATTCTCTTGTCCAAGGTCCCAGTAGTTGTTGCTGGGAGGTGACCACAGACTTTTGCCATAAGCCCCAGTGTGGGCTCCCCAGAGGGTCACGGCACAGAGAATTCGTGCCTGACCAGCACTCTGCCTTCTCTCCCACACCGTCTGGGCTCGGGCAGTCTTACTGGCTCCCAGTGCACATGTCCAGTTGACAGGAAGGTTGGATTTAGACACCTCCTGTCCCAGAGCGCTAGCTGGGGAAGCCAGTCACGCGCAGGGTCCAGCCCCATGATCCAGTCACCTAAAGGACTCACAGCCTCTTCTTGGAAGCCTGTTCAGACATACCGGTTCTCCTATAAACATTTACCTTTCTTCCAGTAACCCTGACCTTCCTCCCCGCAACCTCCTTAGGACTTGGTCAGCAGATGGTTTCTGCCTTCAGGTGGGTAAGGTGTTCCCAGCCAGACGTAGTATCTAGTTGTGAAACATCAGGGAAAGGAGACAGCAACTTCTTTACAGAGAGCATGTTTCAACATTCCAGCTTTCATAAAATTACCGACTCTTATGTTATCATGTGCTCTCAGTCTAACTGAAGCCTGTGGCCCGGCCGACGCTTCCCTTACCAAGGAGCCCTGGAAACTTCTCTACTCCCTTCCCATTTTGGCCACTCCTGTGCAAAAGGCTTCGGGGCCAAGATGAGGGGTAGAGTCAAGGGAGCCTGGTCCTTCTGTCCGTCTGGAACCTGATGAATCTGCTTAACCGTTGCCCCCAGCACTTGCTGGTTGGGTTTCTCATTATGATCTCTCTGTCTTCTGGCTTTTAACGTTTTTCAAACTGGGGACAAACAGATTGGACTTGTTTGCAGGCACTTTAATGCTCGGGGCCGGCAGGGGTCCCTTTGGCCCACTCAGCCTTTGGCAGTGCTGTATTAACATCTTTTTTTTTTTAACCCCAATAACTGTCTGTTTCATTTATCTTACATCTCTATAACCCTCTGGAGATTTCCCCCCAGCAGGGTGAACCCACGACCCTCCTCTGTTTCCTCTTTGTTCCACTCCCATCAATATTTGCTTTATTCCCCTTATTCTTTCTTTCTTTATTTTTTAAAAAGACTTTATTTATGTATTTGACAGAGAGAGACATAGCGAGATCAGGAACACAAGCAGGGGGAGTGGGAGAGGGAGAAGCAGGCTTCCCGCCGAGCAGGGAGCAAGATGCGGGGCTCGATCCCAGGACCCTGGGATCATGACCTGAGCCGAAGGCAGATGCTTAATGACTGAGCCACCCAGGTGCCCCTTCCCTTATTCTTTAATAACCATTTAAAAATGTCTACCCTAAGACCAGTCTCTTGATTCTCCCCTCTGCCTGTCCCCATTCTTTTGTTAATTAACCTAATATATTTATTAGCACCTATAAGACCCAGGAGGGGAAACTGAGCCAGCAAACTCAGTAAGCCTTCCCAAACTGGTTTTTCCCTTTTGCAGCAATGGGTTTTATGGGGTACCCACATGAAAGGGGTCCCCTTCACCACAGCATTTACCATGACCTGGACACAGGTCACCGTAAAGCCACACCCACATGGCTAGCATACAAAGCCTATGGGCTGTTCCATCTGGGATGTTCCCTTTGTACGGGGCATGGGACCTTACAGTGGCCCCTATCTGTGCCCCCAGGGACAGCCTTCTGTGTGTGTGGATCACGCGTGAGCTCTAGGTCCTGCGGCAACCCGGACATGCCCTTCCACTCTGCAGCATTCAAAACCAAAGACACCACAGCCCCCAAATTAGGCACGCTCCCACTCCATCTCAGGGAAGATTCTCTGGGAAGCTGAGGATACTCTTCCACAAAATGTAGCAGCTCCTTTGCATGGCACCATCCCCCCCCAGTTGAGTTTTTTCCTCCTCCCACACTGACGACCTTCTTGGGAGCCAGAGGTCTTAGAGGGACTTTTGGTTGTTCCTGCATCATTTTTCCCTTGGGGGTGATTTCGAGGCTAATGGCCAAAGCTCAGACTTACCCACATCTGACCCTGCTCTAGCACGCAGGGCTGACCCGGCACTCTCTTTTAATTTCATGTTAGCTATTATGGATCACAATAACCGAGCGCTTGTATCTTTCAGCTTTTGCTTATTACTTTGCCCTTCCCGTGCATCCCGTGAACCCACTCCTCGGGAGCTGGGTCCGTTTCTGAATCCCAAATTGGTAACTTCTCCCTTTAGTGACTGATAGCAGGGCACCTGCTGTTCCACGCCATGGGTCACCCCGTGGTCACCCAGGAGCCAGGGGCTCTTCATCCCCTCTCTCTCCTCGAAGCACAAGTTTCTTTGAGCCTGGGCCGTTCTAGGAAATCCCACTTCAACACCAACTCTATTGGAAAATCCTACATACCTCCTTCTGCATTTCTCCTTGACTTTCAACAGAACAATTCACTTCTGACACATCCCGTCATGACGTGTGTGTGTGGAGTCTCCCCAAACCACGCAATTCTGTGACACCAGCTGAGTGTCCTACAATGTAACTCAGTTCTGATACCGTCTCCCTGGAGAGTGCCTCAGATCCTACAGGTTAAGGGCTGGGTCCCATGAGACTGCCCCCCACTTCAGATGCCAATCATAGGGGATAGGTCCCCAGTTTACCCACAACTTCTGTCTGATGTGGCTACAAACCAGAGGTTCCCATGACCTCCTTTCCCTTGGATTGCATTATTTCTAGAACAGCTCACAGAACTCAAGGCAAGATTTACGTATGTTTACCAGTTTATTTAAAGATATGATAAAGGATGCAGATAAATAGCCAGGTGGGGAGATATGTAGGGTGAGGTCTGGGAAGGTCCCAAGCACAAGAACTTTGGTCTGGTGGCGTCTGGGGTGTGTCATCCTCCTGGCATGTGGTTGTATACACCAGCCCAGAAGTTCTCCTTATGTAAGCTTGATCACTTATTTTTTTTTTTTTAAAGATTTTATTTATTTGACAGAGAGAGACACAGCGAGAGAGGGAACACAAGCAGGGGGAGTGGG